GATTAAAGGTGAGTTACAAAAAGGTGGTTTAAGGTTTATAGGGTTTAGGGAGGTTTAGGATTTAAGGTGAGTTGCAAAAAGGTGGTTTAAGGTTTAGGGTTTAGGGAGGTTTAGGGTTTAAGATGATTTAAGGTTTAGGGCTCTGGGGCTTAGGGTCTACACTTTGCGACTGTGGCCTATGATCCGGAGTTCAAGATAAGATAGGGCTACAGCTGTTTTCAGCGATTGCTTCGTTTTGTTTATAGGCTGTTTCTTAGCTTGAGCGACCCGTCAAATCATTGGGGTCCTTTCGGATAGATCCTTCTGTGTCTACAGGTTCAGGGTGCAGAAGTACTACTACCCCGCGCGAGGCCATGTACATGTGGTAGACTTGCTTGAGCACGAACTGCGCATGGTGCATGCTCAGGCACTGTCATGAACGCATTCCCGTACATCATGCAGGGTTTTCGCGGGTATCGCTGGAGTTTGACCAAAAAGACTGCAGATGGCACCAACTGTGCTCAGCCCACACCATTGTATGCTAGCTAGTTATCTCCCCTGCGTATATCTGGCTCGATCGAAGTTTTTCGAATGGTTGCACAAAGGTTCGGGGTGCTTCGTAAGTAGGTCAAGAGCAAGATTTCAATAAGCTCTTGATCCTGAAAGCCTGGAAACTTACGGTCGGAATGTATAGCTTGAGGATTCAAGGAGAAAGTGCCCCCCCGGTGCAGGCATGTCCTGCAGACGGTAGAGCCCTAGTCGGAACCATATTACACGGTTTCATGCACAGAGGGCAGTGTAATATAGCGGTATTCGTTAGTCATCATATCCCGATGGATTCCTTAAGATAGCGCCCAAGACCCCTGTAGTAGCCGTCGCTACGTGGTAGAAGTTCTTGGGCCTTGAGCCTGTGCCCATGCCAAGGCCAGCCATGCCGCCGGTTATGCTCCTTGGAGATGTGTTAGAGTTTATGAGCGTCGAATTTGGGCGAGATTGCAGCCGAAGCAATTGGGGGTTTCCGAAAATAGGGGACCCTAATATAGTACCCCTACATAGTAGGATCCTTATTATAAGGATCCTAATATTTTGGGTACTATATTAGGGTCCCCAATTTTCGGAAACTACCATGTTAAGCCCTTAACAAGCCCTTGAACATCCTTTCCGTCCACAGCGGGATATTCGAAGCCAGGTTCCGCCATTTCCCTTTGAGTTTACTGTACCACGACCCGGACACCCGAATTACATCCTGTGAGTCGCAGGCGTTACAAGCCTCAAGCCCTGCAATCATTACTTAAGCTCTAGGCCCACCAGTAAGACCTGAAATCCAAGCCCCTAGCCCTTAAACTCTATGCAGCAAAACTGCAAGACCCGAATCCCAAACAGAAACCTAACGGCCTCATGCCTTAGCTAAACCCATACGGCATGTCTCCCTAAACCCTAAAACCCTAAACCCTAAACCCCTAAGCCCGTCTCCCAAAGCCCAGGCCCTATGTGAACCAAGTCACGGGCGATGCCTCCTTCTACCCGCCCTTGCGCAAGAAGGGGCGGTCAGAGCTGGGTCCTCATGGGGTTTAGGGTTTAACGGTTTATTTAGGGTTTCGTATAGTACGAATTAGGGTTTAAGGGTTTTTAGGGTTTAGGGCTTAGGGTTTAAGGGCTCAGGGTTTAGTATAGTGGGCCATCTGTGTCCTACAGCCGGGCTTGACGTTTCGAATGCCTGGGAGAGAGAGGGTTTAGTATAGTATATTATAGTATATTATAAAGAAGTTTCGCCAGTTTTTCAGTGGTGGGAAGGTGATGGGTTCGAAGTTTGGGCGTCAGGGTTTGAGACTGTAGTTTTGATGAACTGAGGCTTCAGGAGGCTGGGTTTAGAAGCCTCAGCAACTAACGTAACTCTCTTTCTTTGCACAAGCCGTTACTTTTACTTTATCGGACAGCCTTATCCAGGCACTTTCCGGCTTAAGATTCCGAAATTATCAACCATCATCGCCCCTCTCGAATGTTGGGTGATCATATCCACCTATCGTCCCCAGATACTTACTGCAGCTATACATTATGTACTATCCTAGTCTAAAAGCACTGCTCTTGGTTTTATGTGCGAAGTGATGTCACTTTGCACTTGCCCGCACTTCATCCGCATTTAGCATGAACTGACGTCACAATGTTGGTAGCACTCCTCCATGGCATGGTCTTAGTAGGTCCCCCAGCAGCTGAGCAGGTAACGTTTGAACTTTGGGTCTATCTAATCTACTCCTACCAAAGTAGACAAAGTTAACATTGTTGGGCTGGGGCATTAGCCTATTAGCCCCATTTAACCCTCAGAACCCGAATTCAGTAGTCCCGAAACCACCATTCCCGAAACCACCATTCCTAAGGCGCAGTGTGACGCTTCACCGACTCATCGTCGATCCTGGAAACAGCGTGGAAGACCTGCTTCACAGATGCACTGGGCAAACCATGGGTGTTTCATAGGAGTCGTGTACTAAATATGACTTCTATGTGTATGTGTATATAGATATGCACAATTGTGTACACATACGAAAATGCTTATTTGTGTATGGTAATCGAGCCTGGCGCAGTTCACAGATCCGATTGCAGATGCGGTGTTTCTTTCAGCTTGTGACGGTACTGGGCATCACGTGACCGATCCCAAAGACCGACTACCTGACAGGATCCACGGACCAGCGTCTATACATATATATATATATATATATATATGTACACGTATACATATATACATATACCGTGTATATACATATATATATATATACATATATATATATATATACAGATGTATATGTACACAGTATAACATCCGCCATTGTTCCAAGAAGCGCCCTGTCGTTATCGTCATGTTCTTATCATCTTCATCCTTTGTACTGGAAATGGCTGTTGAAGTATGCTAAATGCACCCTGATTCCACCGCATCGAAAACTGGTAAGCTCCGATCCCCAAACCCTGAACCGTCAATCTGGGGATGGGGTGACGGAGGTGTACATAACATTCTGTGCATACACATGTACATGCCTATTTATATACATATATTTACTTTCGGTGTTCTTTGTTATAGTTACAGTTGAATAGATTTACATATATGTATATATGTGATAAATATCCTGACTTGTTTACATGTGTATATATATATATATACATGCATGTGGGTGCACGCTTTATGTGTAGATAACATCTCTATGTGTCTGTGCTGTCAAAATCGTAATTACTTTGTATGACATTTTTTTGGTGGATACAGCCTTGCAGAGTTCCGTCGACTCAACGTCGTTCGCCAGATTCAAGACGTGAACCCACATGCGAAACGTGTGACGAGCCACACCTCCTCTTGCACCTCAATAAGGTGTCCGTTTTTCTGGGTTCCTGTCATATCACGCAAAAGTTTGCGAGATTGCAGAAGGAATGCACCTCAAGTAGTTACTACATCAAGGTCTATTCCATTTATGTTGGGGAGTTTGGAGGTTTTTGGTTGGAGTCTCTGGGAGCCCTGATCTGCGGCCAGGGGGAGAGAACCCTTATAGGCCCTGAAGCCCACGCCCTAGTCTTTGATCCCTGAATTTTGAAAGGTTGAACCTCGGGAATTGCTTTGAGCTGTCTAGTTGCACGTCGGATCTGCAAGGGTTCAAACTAAAATTGGGTACTTCAAGCTGGCGGAGCGTTACTCTTTCACGTATCATCTCTCAGCTGGAGTGCAGACCTAGTCCTAAGACTAAGCCTTAAAGCCCTTGTGGCCCTTAAACCCTAAACCGTAATCCCTCGTCTGGCATGTCCGAGTTGCGAGAGCGTAAACCGTAATTCCTAAACCCAAACCCTCAGGTTCAAAAACCCTAGACCCTCCATGTGGCTCGAGGCTTCGCATCGTCTCGGAGAACGCGCCGTTCGACACCGACAACCTAGCAGAAACCTCATCGGTTTGGTTTTAGGTTTGGGATTCTGCTGAGTTCGGGTAACTCAAGGTTCTTTAGGGGAGTTTTGTAGAGTAGGGTCTGGGTGTTTACGGCAGGGCCACTTGCAGGGTCAGCACTGTAAAGGTTCCATGAACGGCCCCAGAAACTTAGAAATGATTAGTACTGGGATTCCCTATACTGTACTTGAAAGACATTAGTACTTAGTAGCTGAGTAGGTAACCTTTAACCTTTTGGGGTGTATTTTTCCTACCATAATTGAAAAGGTCAACTGCTTGGGGGACTTAATAAGGACTAGTTAAGGAAGTGTAGTCCCCTACCCCCATCCCGCCTACCCCCCCTTAAGGGTCCCTATGATATGTTGTACTATAAAGTCGTAAGTAGAGCCATCATCCTGTCGGTTATAGGATCTGCGGCATAGGTTCTCGGGCTCGAGGGGTTCGAATTTAGGGCTTGGGATTTGGGGTACTTGGAGGTTCATGCGTAGTTATAAGTGGGGTTATAAGTCCCCTAATATGGGTTATAAGTATAGCTACCCTACTTATACCCCTGCTTACTACCCGTTACTACCCATGAACCTCCAAGTGCGGGCTGCAGGCAGGGTTTCGTTTGGAAATGAGTCTGCGGGAGAGGGGACGAGGGCTTGGGTTCGAGGCTTAGGGCAAGTAAGGTCTCGGGACAATTTAGCTTGAACCTCCTTGCTGGAGTGTTCCTACAGCACAGCAGCTCGGTAGGTATTCTTTGGCCTGCGTGGTTGTGGTTATCTCTACAAATAACACGTCTATTATGTAAACATTCATGTGTTCACTTGCTTATCTGTGTATACTATATTTATATGTATAAATATAAACACAACATACATATATATATATATAGGTATATACATACATATATATATATATATATATACATATAGCTATATGCATTACATAAACTCTCAAACCCTAAGCTTTAGCAGTTCCCTAAACCCTAGCACTCTAAACCCCTAGACCCTAGTCCCTAAACCGCCCTAACCCCTAGCAACTGCGAGTAGATTTCAAACTTCTGGCCAACTCCAAGTATCATCTCGGCTCGAGACGCCACGGATCTCTGCCGACGTGGGGAGCCATGGAAAACGGAAAGGCTGTGGGCAGAATGTTGGGCTTCGGGGTTAGGGTCTAGGATTTAGGGGTTAGGGTCTAAGTTTTAGGGTTTGAGTGTTTAAGGTTTAAGGGTTTGAGGGGTTTAGGGTTTGAGGGTTTCAGGGTTTGAAGGTTTCAAGGTTTGGAGTTTGAGGCTGTTACGGCTAAGGGTTTAGGGCTCAGGTATATAAGGTAGGGCCTTAGTAATTAGAGTAGGGTTTTGGGGGGGTTTTATTATTACACATACAGTATAGTAGGGTTCAGGTATTGGGGTTAATGGGGTTGAGGGTATTGGGGTTTTAGGGTTGAAGGTTCAGGTATAGGGGTTAGTGAGGGTTGAGGGTATAGGGATTTCAGGTTTTAGGGTTGTAGGGTTCATAGCGGGATATAGCGGGTTTACACGCAGCAGCTTTGAGACTTGGAGATGCAGGAAGGCATGCACAAGTCTGTGCAACAAGTCGGTTTAAGGGTTTCGGGTTTAGGGGGTCCTGGATGCAAAAAGGGTTTAGGGTTTTTAGTCGGGGCCAGAGTCTCGAAATAGGTGTGGTTTTGGGGTGGTTGCGGATTCTGAGGCACCAAGTTTACTGCTACAAGCCATGCTTTGAGGTAGTGATGAAGGCTCAACCAGAGGTACTCAGAGCTTTTATGCATTGACGGGGCTTTGCAAGGCGTTTAATTACACAGTCATGGTGCTTTCCGAGTTCTCTTGTGCGATCCTGCTGTGGACACTAAATAAACTGGATTGCTTTGCTGGGGGATGTCGTGGCTACAAAACGCTTGGTTTAGCGGTTTGGAGGCCCGGAGGATTATAGCTTTAGTTTTTGGTTTACAGTACAGTCGGCAAGGATCCTACAACGGTTGGGGTGTTTCGATCAGGGATCCTCCAGCAGCCCGCCTCGCACGGATCAGATCATCCAGCGCCCGAGTACCACAAAAACCCCCAACACCTGCAAGACAACACTTGGCGGGGCCCTTGATCAATGTAGAGGCCTTAATATTTAGAATAGGGTTTTGGGTGTTCTTTATTGTAGTTTCAGTCAAACATACCCCCAAACCCCATTCGAATGATTAAGGCCCCTACATTACGGGCTCCCTTGAGGCTGCTTTAGGCCCTAGCTACATTGGAGTCTCTTCCTTCCTTTCTTTGTGAGATTCTTACTGTGAATCCGAAGAGCCCGGTTCAAGCCTTAAACCCTAAACAAAGAACCGTAGCCATTTTGGCTCAAGATCAAGATTAGCCAAGAAGCTTGCTGCAACGATCGTACGCTTTGCAACTGTACCGCATTGAACCCTACACAGCAAAATAATATCCATTCGACCATTCAGGTTTACGGCTGCGTCAAGGCTAACCCTACTTAAACACTTATAGCCTTATGGCACCATTTCTTTCTGACGGAGTCTCTGAAACCCTATATTCCAAACCCGTGACACCAGGTAGGAGGGAAAAAAACCCATGACACGTGCGAGGGTGCAAAAAACCCATGACAAGGACAGAGGTTAGAATTGTTAGAAACACCGGCCCCAAAAGGCCTCTACAGCACATACTTCTGCGATAAATGTGTCCCCAAAACCTACCCAAATTAAGAAAGGTCCGTACATCAACAAGCAGACAAACTCCAAAGCACAGAGCCTCTATACCGCCCGTCGCCATGCAACCCGCCATGGACAATCCCATGGTGGCGGAGATGAAAGACAGAGTCTTTAGAACCACATTCCCTATAGAGAGCGGCCTGCTTCAAGGGTACTTCTATCCCTTTCCTGGTGATGGTGATGGTGGCGCATATTTTCGTTGCGACAGGCTTGAAGAGATCCTTTTTGGCACAAGACAGAACGTTTGTGCGTCCTCAGCAACATCGCAAAGCCGAAGCTTCCCATTGCGACTTCAGCGGACCTGAAGACATGGCAACTCGCGACCGCGACTGACCCCGTGACGGCTCCTTTACACGAGATGCAGACGAGAGCGTATAACACTGAGAACAGAGTCCGCTCCGCTACAGGTGCTTGCATGTTTTTCTTCACCTTCCCGCGACATCCAGGACTGTCGGGGTGCTACGAATACTGGGACCAGTACAACGGCAACCCCTCCTTCAAGAGGTGGAGGATGCTTTCTTCTCTGCACGACGCATGCGACTGCATGACTACAGAATTCTTCTGCAAGCATATACAGAATTCCTCTGCAAGCATTTGGGTGCGACAGCTGTAGTGGCATCACGCCTTATCTGGGACTTTTCATGTGCACAGTGTGATGCTGCTACAGGGGCAACACAACTGGAAGATGAGGAGACTGAGATGGAATGCCCGATATGAATTCAAGAATTACAGCAACTGTTTCGATACCTGGACAAACATGTGCAGGTTCATGAGAAGAGACCTCTTCCAGCAGCTGACTGCCTCTCTGAGCTCTGGCTGGTTGCAATTGGTGGAGTATTGGCTGATTACCTAGAGGCGGTGAGTATGCATGAGACACCGAAGCAGAACGCCTTTCTTATTCTCGGAAGATGGCGGAGGCTATGGTGGAGCCTGCGGGCCCAAAAGAATGAGACAGTCTACAAAGAGCTCGAGGAAACTGCTCATTAGCGCCAACAGGCAGCTCTTAATGGTCTTCAAAGAGACTTTCAGTCTGAAGTGAACCATACTGCTGACAGCCGACACCAACATGTTGACCCCATTGAGTACACTGCTCGCGCAGAGTATTCAATCAGGTCTGCATGATCAGTGAGAGAATTTGTGCATGGCAGGAAACTCAATTAATTCAGCGGAGGTTGCGGGTTGTCTCTTATGTGTTTGATGTCCGATTCAGCCGGTTGTATTTTGGCAGTTAATGGAAACTTGGTTATATTCTGCATGCGAATTTGGGAGCGCATGAACATGCAACTACGGGGAACTTTGTGTTTGAATTTTATTAGTGAGTTCTAGTAAATTCTTTGTTGTAGAAATCGACTAGATTGATTGTATATTGCAAGTGCATGCTGCGCCAGGTCCGAGTCCCACATGTCTGCCCGCTATCACATGTACTTTGAACCGTTTATTGGTGCAGTCTCGCAGACTACAGTCCCTTTAGTACGTTTCACTTTGTCAGACTCCGAACCATATGCCTCGCCTGGATTGTCCGAGTGTGAGCGCCGAAACAGAGAACCCTGCAAGAAAAAGTGCGTTTTAACAAAACCCTAAACCCCGAAACCGTGGCTCCAAATATGACACGTTTCGCGTCCGCCGGGCAGAAGGAGAGGGGCGACCGGCTGTTTCGAAGGTTTGTGGTTTTGCAGCTGTGGGGGGGGGGGGGGGGCTTAGGGTTTCGGGTTTGGGTTTAGGGACAAGTCTGTGCGAAAAAGGTTTCCCTAAGTAAGCCTGACGACCTTTTTTAAGGCTGGGGACGTAACTGTCCCCGCTATCATTCAAGGACGTACTTGGAGGGTCGGGGGACTTTGTAAGTAGGAAGTAAATAGACTTATTGGGGTTATGGTACTTATAATTCCCTAAAATAACCAGTTACTAAGTCCCCCGACCCTCCAAGTATTATTCGGCCGAGCATGGCCTGCTGCAAATTTCCCAAACCAATCTGTACACTCGTAATGACCCCATAACCCGCTAGAGAAGTCCATATCCTAATCCTCTGTAAACTCCGTCCGAAGCAGCCCTTCGCAAGCCTAGAAGTAAACCCTGCAAAATCACAAAAGCAATATTACCCTAAGATGCTGTTGTACATAAATACCTTGTGCATAGTATGATACCTATGGGTGGTTGTCAAAATCATGGCCCCTTTTTGGGTACCCTGAATAGTAGGTGCCGTATGATAAAAACCCAAAAAGCAGGCTAGTTTTGACAACCACCCATATATATATATATATATATATATATATATATTTATTTATTCATTTATTTATTTATTTGTCTATTTATTTATTTATTTATTTATTTATACAACACCTGCAGACACACACACACACACACATACACGTATATTTGAAACATTTGTGTGTCTGTGTGTGTATACTTATAAATGAATATACATATATCTATAGAGAGAGAGAGAGGGGGAGAGAGAGAGAGAGAGAGAGAGAGAGAGAGAGAGAGAGAGAGAGAGAGAGAGAGAGAGAGAGAGAGAGAGAGAGAGAGAGAGAGAGAGAGAGAGAGAGAGAGAGAGCGAGCGAGAGAGAGAGAGAGAGACAGAGAGACAGAGATTAAAACTTCGATTCGCGTTCTGAAGGCGCAGAAGGTTGGCGGCGCAGACCTTGATTGGTCGAGCCATGGCGAGCGTTTTCTGGAGTCTTCGTATGTCTTCTCAGCCCCAAAGGGTTTTCAAGACGAATCAGCATATACGCATCATGTCAAAACGTCGGGTATAGTTGTGGGTTCGAGGCTCGAGTAGTAGCTTTGTGAGCTTAAGTCAGATGTCCCAATACGGGTCTAGAGGTACGTAGTTTAGCTGGCTTCGAGCTTGAACCCTGAACGTTAAGGGGCCCGAAACCCTAAAGCTTGGAGAGACAGGGTCCGAATACTGTGTGTTTTGTTGCCTGAAAACTTTGTGCCCCACGACTTCAGGTTTTGGGGTTCAAGAATCCCAGACCCTGTTCGCCTCGGGCTATACATGACTTATAGACTCGTAATGGTGATCTGTAGTATCGGCTGTTTCGGGATGTTGAAGTCAGGCCTGTGAAACAAGGCAGGTTTGCTTACAGACCATATCTAGATCACTTAATAAATCTCTTGAAAGAGTTCCAACGCGTGAACCATGTCCTCCAAAGGAACGAGACTGAACATAGTTCGAGATCTGAGAGGGAGATCTGGGAGGGGTTTGTGAAAGATGTGGAGTCTAGGCCAGGTGTTTCAGGATTGCAGCAGCTTCACTTCTACATGCTCGGGCTTCCTGTTGCCTGAGTCCCAGCCCACGAAACTCCTGTAGACTCACCGAAGACTGGTACTGTCCGAGCTTGCACAGTCTTGAACCACAAACAGCCCAATGTCGCTGATCAGCATCCCTCTCAACCGCATTTCTCCAAGTTGCATGCAACCCAAACGTAACGTCTCGAAAGGCTCACATGCTCACCTGTCGGTACACCTCACGCCAGCCACACCCTGAGCCCAACACGAGCCACCGAACTCATTCTCGAAACAGCAAACCACTGAGTCATAGGGACTCTTAGGGAGGTAGGGGGGAGGGCGGTGGGGGACTATACTTCCTTAGATAGGCCTTATCATGTCCTTATTATGGACATTAAGGCCGCCTACCCCCAGAAGGGTCTCTGTGACTGAGGAAGCTGGTCTTTGGAAGCCGAGTGTCACTTGGACCGGCATCGCAGAGCTTGGTCCTACATTGTAGTGTTTCGGGTTGGGATGGCGGGACAATTTTGCTTCGAGTTTTAGTCGATGTCGTATGGTCCGAAAAACCCGCTACTGCTACGGCTGCTAGTACTGCTGCTACTACTGCTGCTGCTACTACTGCTACTACTACTACTACTACTACATCCTGCTTCTACGAACGACTGCTACAAATTTCTTCTCCCACCGTGACGACTACCACTACGACGACGACTAGTATTACTACCACTACTACTGCCACTGCCACTGCACTACTGCTCTTGCATCTGCTTCTGCTACTGCTGCTGCTACTGCTACTGCTGCCGCTACTGCTACTGCTACAGCCACTGCTACAACCTACTACCTACCACTACCAGTACCTTGACGACGACGACACGACGACTGCTACCACCACTGCTACCATTACCTCTACTGAAACAGCTGGCATTGCCGTGCTAGGTGGGTGACAAAAAGAAACAGCTGCTGCTCCTGCTGCTGCTCGAACGTCGTGTGCTGCTATTGGTGCTGTTTCATAGCACTACTCAAGTGAATCGCGGTTTTGTTGACATGTCTTACAGGAAGGTGTAATAATGTTGCTTGCTCCACACGTGAGTCAGGCTTCGTAGATTGTAGTTTTCAAGTGTAACTAATCGCACGAATGATGCCAGCGCTTATATCGGTATAGAAATACTTCAACTGCGACTACGACGACGCCAACGATCCCAGGCTGTCCCTGCAGTCACGATGGGCCCGGTTATGTCCTTAGAGACCTTGCCCTGCACCCTTTTGCGGTGGCTGTTAAGAGCAGCCTTAGAGGCCAAGACTCAGTCACAGACCCTCACCTGGTCGAGAGGGACTTCGTTGCGGGATTTGGCAGGAAACCCAGATCCCACACCCCAAACTTTGAGAATAAACCCCTTAACCCCTTAACCCCTTAAACCCTAAACCACATAAACCCTAAAGCCCCTAAACCCCTAAACCCTAATCCTGACAGTGCTGAGGGACTCACACTGCTTCATGAAGCACGTGTGGAAGGACGGAGAATGGGACAAGGGCGAGCTTGTCCAAGAACCCTACGTGATCCTCAAGCTGCACTCATTTTTTTGACAATTCGGCTTCCTTCCGGGGAGGTTGCAGGGCACTCCGAGCAAACCTCAGCATTTAGGTGTTCATCTTCGGTCTTTTACAGCTTCGGGGGGATGCATTCAGTGTAGACTGTCGGGTTTCTTGGAGTCAGGGGTCTTTTGCTAAGGCCTTAATCTTTCTTAGATCCTTCTCCATGGGTCCTTCTATTCGGACCCCTGAACAAGAAAGCAAGATGCAGAGCTCTTGCTAATGCCCGGTGTTGGAACAAGAGCCCCGAACGGTTCAGGGTTTAGGGTCTCGAGTTTTTTGGGGGACAGGGGGGGCTCTTGCTGTAACCGGGCTGCTGGACAACGAGGCCTGCTGCAAAAAGGGTCTCGAGTTTGTGAATCCATGGCTAGTAAATCGAACTCTGAGCTTCACACCACACTGTCTCTGACGTTGCTTGGCCCTACAAACAGCGATCTGTGGATTGGAATATCCTCCCTTGTAGCCCCTTTGACAGTTATAGTTTATGCACCGAAACATTGTCCAAGTTATCATGGCCCCCGCATGTAGAAGCATACATAAAGATAAGAACAGATAGACTATATATATATATACATATATATATATGCATATATACACACATACATAAAAGAATATAGACGCCGTGTATGTATTATTTTATGCAGAGGGTCAGGGCAGACTCTAGTGTAGGAAGTGCTCATATTAGACTGGCCCCAAGATCAAGTTCACATGAAGCCAGACACAGATCTCGGATTCAGGAAGATGCATGTGATGGCCAATGTGTTTCACTATGGCCAGGCCGGCCATTTGAATACCATTGTGAGTTTTGGCCGCAGGGTTCGGGCACTTCCAGATTTAAGGTGTGTTTACTTTAGGTACTATAGGGGCCTTAAACATTACCTATACTAATTTTGGGGCTCCTTATTACAATTATAGTATAACTACTTCTACGGTAGCAAGGGGGGGCCAGTTAGCAGGCAGTAGAGCTAAATGTTTATATATGCAGTGACAACCCCACAAAGAGCCTTATCCCGCTAACCTGGGGGTTAAACCGGGTCTAACAGTTCTCTAACCCTAAGGGTCCATGTACCCATATAGAGATACATGAGCCCCAAAGTACCTATATTCGGGACTACATGAAGGCCAATGTATAGTGTATATCTGTATATACTATATGAATACATGGACCCTTAGGGTAAGTGCTGTCCGAAGTTGAACCCTGAACCCGAAATCCTAAGCCTTGAAGGATGAGACCGATCGAGTGAGCTTGTGAACGAGTCTGAACCAGATATGGGCGTTTCCGAAAATTAGGATACTACCTTTAAAGGGATCCTTTAAGGGCTCCTTAAAGGGATCTATAAGGGTCCTATGAAGGGTTTACTGTAGGGTTTAGAGTTTCCGAAAATTCGGGTAGTTTTGGAGCCCTTATAATACGGATCCTACTAGTTAGGGTATATACTATTTTGATGTCCCCCATTTTCGGAAACTCCCGTATCGTTGCAGACCTTGCCAGGCTTGTCCGAGTATGAGTGTCAAAAAACCTTGAAGCACCTGGACGGACGCTTGCGCTTCCCTCGCGGCTTCCGTGTTGGTTGTCCTCTAGTGCATTGTCAGTGTGTGTTTTTGTTGGTGGTTCGGGGTGCAATGTTAACCCATCTACTAAACATCAATGACCGCACGCTTCAGGTTGGGATCTGGAGGCTCTGGGTCGTGAGGAAAGGGCTATACCAGTGGGATCCTCGTAAGATCTTTGATAGGCGAGGCTGGCTTGCTGGTCAGGGACAACGTAGAGTGAGTATGACAGACCTAGGGCCAGGTAGGGTCTCATTATGTTTGGATGTGACAAGAGGCCAGCGGACTGAGCTTTCGCGGCCAGTCATTCCTCTTCAAACACCAACCTCGCTAAGCCTTGCACCCTGCACCCTCAGCCCTGAACTCTGCGCAAGCAAGCCACACACACACACACACGCGCGCACACACACACACGCGCAGAGAGAGAGAGAGAGAGATACATATATATATATATATATATATATTATATATACATATACAGGCCCAGAGACCTATGTTCCTAAACCCCGAGGCCCTGAACCCCATACCCTAACGCCTTGACGGTGACAGTTAAAAGCTAAAACATCCGCAGGTGTATCCTAAGCCCCTAAACCCTAAGATCCTAAACCCCTGAAGCCCCAGCCCTAAACGCCCAGAAAGCTCTGCGATGCTGTGCAGGCCATCTTCGAAGGTCAGAAGGTGTTCCATTGCAAAGACGGCAAAGTTCGAAGCCTGCCGCAAAGTTCCGGGATTCGAAGTGGGCAAGTAATCTCAACATCGTCATCTATCTATCTACCTATACACAAACACACACACATAGATGTATACTTATATATGTATATATACATACGTATATGTGTATGGCAACACCTCCAAAACACTTTTGAAACTAGGTAGGCTTCCATGTTGGATCTCATACTCGGAGCAAGCTTTACAGTAGGTTCCCGAGTCTCGGACTTCAGTGTTTGGCAACTTGAGGAATGCGGGTTTTTCACCTTGAAAGTCAGGCTTGCATAGCTGCGTCTCCTGATGAACCTAAGCTTGACGATCCTGTCAACCCTTCCCCTCAATCCCTAAACCCCTCAACCTTCCGGAAGCCCACACTCGTCCAACCAGTCCATTACAATAAACCCTCAACGCTGACGTTCTAGCCTGCGATTTCGTGCCCTTGCATTGCGAGACTAATGATGATGGCACGGCAGAGCGAGAGAGAGCCCAGGAATCTTTAATGACAAGGCGAACTACGCCCGAATGTCGGCAGGCTCGCAGGGTTCACGAGGTTAGAGTTAGGGATACCCGTGAGTGTATATCGGGCTCCCGTTTTTAAATCTTGGTAAAGTTCTCTACTAATACGAACGGGCACAGAAATGGCTCAGATGTTTAGTCATACCTAGCTGTGGGTGAAGGCTCGAAACGGCACGTTCGGCATTTACACACGTTTCCCGTGAAGCCTACAACCTGTAAAAGGCACATCTAAAGACGATTCTGCTACCGTCCTAACATAGGCACCGCTGACCTTGCTGCAAAAAGGCAAAGGATACTCCTGGAACCCCACGCTATGAGCTGACAAGTTTTATGAGAGCAGGCCTCTTGTTCTGGGAGTTTTGATAATTTTGGGGCTCGAAGGGTTGAGGATGCATGCCTTTGGGAGGGTTGGGTGACTTCGCAATTGGACCTTCTTCAGCTTATGATACTTACATCTCGAGAATATCGATCCTGCAAGTAAGTTCCCTAAGCCCTAAACCCCTAATCACCCCAAGCATCTTCAGAAGACAGCTGTTTCCTCAATCTGCCGATGCTGCAAGTAGGGCCATCACTGGAACTTCCGTGTCGCAGCCATGAACCCTAAACACCTAAACCCCTCAACCCCTAAACCAGGCAGTAGCTGCGGATATGAAGAATATTGCAAACTGGCTTCAGAACCTGAGGCTGTAGTCATCTGTTCTTTCGAAGTTACCCTGCAATGCGGGCGTCGTCCTTGCTAAGTAGCCAGTAAAGAACCCCCCCCCACCCCCCGCCCCCCAATGGCTTGCTTAGTCGGGGTTTTGGCTCGTGGCCTCTTGGCTTTCTGTCAGGACAGGGCTTGGGGATCTAGGACTTCAGGGTCTAACGTATGGGCTTTGAGGTGAGGAGTTAGGGTTTAAGGCTTAGGGCTCAGAGGCTACGGTTGATGATATAAATCCTGCATTACCTTAAGGATCCTAAACTACGGGAATTATGGTATATTCCTTATTATGGGTCATGCAGGGTTTACATCATCAACCGTAGGATTTAGGGTTTCAGCTTAGAGGGCTCTTGAAGATGTGAACAGCAGCTTCGACAACCCTTCTGGGAACCCTTGAAGCAACGACATCCCTGGGTAGAGGCTGCCAAAGGATGGGTATGCCAACGATGACGCCAGAGATGTTTCACCAGGCCGGGGTAAGATAGGGGTTGAGGATATTGTGGTATTGGGGCTTAGAGCTCAGGATAATAATTGACATGATGCTATAGGGTTCCTTTGTCCCCAAAACTCTATTGCAAGTATTGCAAGCTCTGGTTGTTTAGCGAACTGGGGAACCAAGGGGTCTTGCAGGTTAACCGCAGTGGTTCGTTAATCGGTCGAACTTACGAACCTAGCAGTTTTGCAGAGTCCTGTTCGTGCGTTGACAGTTTGACAGCGTCGAGGACTTGGATTATTGGAGGGATCGAGGTGAAAGTTTTAGGCTTCAGGAGTTGGGTTGAGGTGTGGAGAAAGTTTAGGGGCTTGTTTTGGTACGTGCTCTTGCGCCGGCTCGTTCACAATGTTTTTTGAGCATCTGGTTCTGTAGTGAACTCGGCATCAGTTTAAAGATTGGGGTCTTTTGGTGTGTGTGTGTGTCTGTGGATTAGGACTCAGGCCTTCGCATTGCATATTGGGCTTTTCATGAATATAGACTGCAACACCCTACGCCCTAACCCGCAGTCTTAAGTCTTGAAAGCTTTATTTCCCTTTCCCCAAACTCCTTCAACCCTTACTCCCCACAAGTTGAGCGCAGCCGACAGTCTTGGATCATAGGACCTGGAAACCTCCCACCTCATAACCTACGGCGGAAAAGGCCAAAACCTGTGCCTCAAAATCCTACGTAAACCAGATGCCATACGCCGAAGCCCTGAAGCGCTTCAGAAATGCGTAACCTTCGACAATGAGACGAACGGCCCTCATGAGCAAAAATCACGCTCACGAGTAGAGGAAAACATGGACCGTAGCCTTCTCAGGCAATCGACCGTGTGGTGGCTGCCAACCTGGACTTCGTTCCACCCTACGGCCCCTATTCAGACGACTTTGTCTAAGTTCCCTGTGTTCGAGCTTCGAGGTTTCAATGCAGAAGGCAATTTTCTCTGTTCCCATAGACACCCAACACCCATTATCTTGTTGAATCATTCTTTCTGGCTTCTAGTCACTTCAGATACTCCTTCGACGAAGGTCTTCAAGCGGTGGCATCCAGGGCTTATGTATTAGGGTTAAGGGGTGAATTAAGGGTGAATGTAGGGTTTCGGGTCTAGGGTCGTGACACTTGCCGCCAGGGCTTAGCTCGTGACACGAAAGCATGTCAAGTTCAAGAAACAAAGCCTTATGGTGAATGGAACTACAGACTGGGGATCCTCCTTGACTGGAGGCCCGGTAATGGAGGCTCTACTTGGGCGGTTGTCAAAATTATGGTCCCCTTTTTGGGGGTCCTTGTTTTAATACGGCACGTATTACTTAGGGTACCCAAGACGGGACCTTAATTTTGAAAACCACACACTTGAGTATAGCTATGTTGAGCATGACTTGCAGAGTGTGTGTGTGTGTGTGTGTGTGTGGCCTTGATTTGTGTGACGCACTAGCAAATGTTGAGACCATGAATTCAACGGGTCTCCCTTTACCCCGATGTTTGAGCACAGGTGGTGGAAACCCAGCCAGAGTAAACCCAACAGCATATATCTACAGCCCAGATCACGAAACACGAAGCCCTAATACAGGAACCTGAAAAAGAAACCCTGAGTCTACAACCCCCTATATATGAGGATCCATATTAAGAACCCAAACAAAGACCCAGGGTTTCTTAAGCAGGTTCCTACATTAATCCCTCATTTCTATGCCCAGAACATGTTAAGTTCCTGACAATGGCAGGGACATACTCGCCCAGACGCTGACTTCAGCTTTGTCTAAATCCGGCTCGTCGTTCAGAGGTTTGGGGAGTTCGGAGCTGTAGAATCCTGAAACCCTCGCCACCAAACCCGAAACCGTAACCATAAAGTCGCCATAAACCCCAAACCCTAGACCAACAAACCCTAAACCCTGGGTTTAGGGTTTAGGGTTCCTAAACTTTCCGGAACCCTCAACCTAAACACTGCCTGCCTCGGCTGAGGTAGCGGCGCCTCGTTGTATGTGTGTCCCGGCATGCTATTGCGATTACTATTCTTGCCATGACTGGTAAACAGTAAACTGTTACTACAGTACCATTGCTATTTCTACTACTTTTACTACACCCCTTGAGGCTGCAGGTTTTCCTGTGAGCTTCGGATGTGTTTTCTTGTCTTAAATGGTTTAGGGTGTAAAGGGCTTGGGGTTTCGGGGTTGGTCAACGGTTCACGTGTAGGCTTGAATGTACTAGGGTTAGTAACCCGCGTACCCTTTTGGTATAGCCTTTGAATTCAGTATCCCTCATGTTGACCCCTAGTGCAATAAACGTTAACGTAACACCTTGCAGCATACCCAATCGTAGCCCTTTACAGTATCCCCAACCCGGTAGAAGTGTCTCTTATAGTGCCCTTTATAAAGTCCCTTATGGTATCCTTTTACCGTATCCGTTACAGTAACCCTTTTCAGTCGCCATTCTAGTATTCTGTATAGTAATTCAACCTTGTAGTAAACCTTCTTATAGTGGCCTCTAAAAATAAACCTTCTGGTAACCTCAGAGTATCATTTATAGTAACCCTTATAGTGAACCTTTTATAGCAGCCTCTAAGAGAAAACCTAACTAGTAAACCTTCCAGTAAGCCTTTATGACGTTAGCCAAGGCGGCCCTTCATGATCGGAAGTGGCCCGCAGTTGGGCTTAGGGCCAAGCAGCGAGCCGCCGGGACGAATCGGACATCCTCCAATATTGCAAGCCTTGTGGGTGGTTGTCAAAATTGGGGTCCCTTTTTGGGTACCCTAAATAATAGGTGCCCTACTGGCCCTACTATAATAGGGACCAAAAAAGGGACCCATAATTTTGACAACCACCCATGTCTTCCCTTAGTCTTCGTGGTTGCATACAGATGAACTGCATGTGTCGATCTGTGTATGTATGAACGCATGCATGCATGTACGCACTTGCGTACGTATGTGTGTGCGCGTCAGGCGGTGCATATATGTATCTAATCAGGTATGTGTGTACGTACGTAGGTATGTATGTATGTACATAGGTACATATGTACGGTATGGCATGATGTGTTATGTTATGTGATATGATATGATATGACTTGTCTTCGGTTTAAGTTTGAGGGCTTTTGTATATGTAAACGTATGTGTATATGTGTATATATGCATGCAGTTTGGACTTATATGTAGTTCTACAGCTGAAACCGTCTAAACGACAAGTACATGACGAGTTTGCACTCAGAGGTGAAGCTGCTACTGTACCAGACAGGCTAGCTTCAGCAAAGGGCTCTTTACATATAGTAGATTTCTAGATGTAGGGTTTAGGGTTTTCAAGTTGTGATATCCGGCCTGCAAGCTTCGCTCTCCGGTGCCTGGGTGTGGCACCCGTCCTGCACCCTAAACCTTAAGCCTTCAGCCCGTTAAAGCACTATACTGGATGCCCGGTAGTACCCTTTTTGTAGCCCTAGGTTCCTTATAAAGGTACGCAATACCAAAAAGCGAGCCCTTTTTATTCCTTACTGGGCATCCTAGTATAGTTCCACAGTCCAACTCCAATGAAACCGGACCCTCAATCTGCCTCCGGCTGACGTTTCTTAAGCCCTGCTGCCACGAAAGTCTAGGGTTTGTTGCTTACATGTCGGAGACCTAGTGCATGTTATTCTATTCTATCTATCATGAGGAGCCATAAGGAACAGTCTTCTCTACCACAAAAGGTTTTTATGTCCTCAACCCTAGCAGCAAGGTTTACTTTCATGGTCCTGGTGTCCCCGGTGGGGCCCTACTACGGTGGCTCCGTGCCCTGCAAACTCGTGGATGAGCCGCCAAGCTTCGAACATGGTTTTTGTTAGGGGTTCTCTTAGCCGCTCCATGACAGTGATCCTGAATGGGTCCCTCGACGGGCTCAATTTTAAGGGCTTGGGACCTCAGTGGGTTTTAGGGCCTTGGCTTTTGAGGACTGACACAACGGGGCGGTTGTCAAAGTCATGGGCCCTTTTTTTGGGTCCTTAATACAATACGGCACCTAATCTTCAGGGGACCCAAAAAAGGGACCAGACCATAATTTTGACAACTACCCAACTATCTGAAATCGCATCTCGCCCCAGAAGACCTAAGTTCCTGGCAGAGAGTTCCAGGATTAAGGCAGTGGGCCCGAAACCTCAAAAAGTAAACGGTTCCAGAAACACGGCTTTAAGGTTTCAGCGGTTAACGTCGAAAATTGCAGGATTACACATCGAGTGAACTGAAAACTGCTCGTTCCTCCAGGGAGGCTCAATGTGAAGATTCACGGAATCATGTCTCCTAGACCCTCCACCCCAATGCATCCTAAGTCCTATGCCACTTCCCAACCCACTCGGGAAAGCTTTTGAAGTAGGTCCCTTCTCCTCGCTAGCACAGAGTTCGAGCTGCATGCTCTTATCGCGTGCTTCCGGGGTTCTCCTGGATTCTGAGTGTATGTAAGCCCCTGAACCAGAACCACCCTTTGATTCAGGGCCTTAACGTGAGGATCCCTGATGTAATCCCCGTCGCGCAAGGGGTGGATAAACTGCGAAGCCATATGCACCTTTCGTACAAGGTGCCTCCCCCCTTTCGCTAGGCTCCCGTCGATCACCCGTCGATCATCTAGTGTTCTTGAGCCCTCACACCCTAGACTAGACCCAACCGTAGCTTGGGATTCCCTGGGTCGACCGAAGCCCATGCTTGACGAGGTTCGACCGAGCGGCACCGTTGGGAGTCGGCCAGGTCTCCGATCCCTACCCTAAAACTGAAACCAGCTCATTTTGGCTTGGTGGGGTTCTGGGAACCCTAAACCCTGAACCACATCGATATGAGTACGACCCGCTTGGTACTCTAAACGCTAGACCACACTCACCAACTTTACGGCATAATTCAAGTTGTTCGCTTCTTTGGCTTTTGGTCTCTTTCATCCACAACCTACATCTTCGCTTAGGCCTTCTAAACCCTGTTGGAGTGATGCTGGGAAGGGGATGGAGTTGGAGCTTTCGATGGTTGGCTTAGCTTTGGAGCTTTGCAATCTTGGGGTTCACGGTTTAGGCTTGCATGCACCCGAAAGCCATGAATTCCACAATTCAACTTGTAAGTGAAACTCAACCAGCATAATGGCATAGAATCCCAAAGCCAAGATGCCAGCGCCTGAACCAACGAGTCTTGTACCTAGCCGGAACCGAGCACCCTCTGCTTTTGAATCTAGGGCTCCAAAAAGGCTTGCATGATATTGTAACATACAATCAGGAGAAAGCATGATCAACTTCTCCAGGCTGTTGACAACCTCGGACCTGAATGAGTTTGTAACCCCAAATGACCCTCGTAGACCTATTGCTTCGAAGGGCCAGGTGCTTGTTCGGACGGTTGTCTGCTTTCCAAGCGCATCGCTAGTTGGCCCTGACATTTGCTATGGCTGCCACACTCCAGTCTATAGCGGTACCTTGCCACGTGTCTGTCCGTACCAGTGTAGCAGCTGTGGTGAACCATGTTTCGACAAGCGCACTCATACATGCACTGCCGCTCTTGCGGTTGCAGTTCACGTCTTTTTTGCTTTTCGCGTGCATTGCTTTTGCTTGCAACGACGCCGACTGCCTGTAATCTGTTGCCAGTATAGCAACAATTCGAAAAGGCACCCGAGGCAAGAGCAGTTCTACTAACGGTGTGGTTCACAGCATCGTGCATGTTGGTTGATCGCAGATTTGCAATCGTCTCCCTTGATGACAATTGTACTAGCATTAGTAGCTGGACACCAATGACCTTACTTACACGGAGGAAGAAAAAGCTAATGCGTCAGGGGTCACGAAACTGTTGGCAGGTGAAGTGCGCGGGCAACTACGCTGCCGACATCGTCCCAGCAAAGGAGGCAAGTCTAAAGCCTAAGCCCCTGAACACTGAACCGATAATCAACCTCCCGGAGGGCTTCGTGGGGACGCAGTGTTTTAGCCTTCAGGGTACTGGGGGATCCGGGAGGCGTGTGGGCTCTTGTTTGCATGCGTATGCATATGCAGACAGTATCGACATGTGTACGTGTAAACACTTCAGACATGGCAACCCCTCAAACATGCATAAGGAACATAGCAAGGGGACAACCCCGGGGAGCATGCTAAAACCTTTGCAAAACCACAAACGAGACCCTATAAAACCTCATCACCTCCTAAAACGAGACCCTATAAAGCCTCATCAACCTCCGAAGAAGCCCTCTAGCCCCTAGAAAGCACCTCATAAAGCCCCGGATGAAACCCCTGTAAAGCCCCGATAAAACCCAGCCTCCGTCCTGCAGGCCAAGGATCAGGGCTTCCCGATTTGCCTGTACTTGGATGCCAAGGCCGGAACGGGCTATACTTGGAGGTTCATGGGTAGTTATAAGTGGGGCTATAAGTCCACTAATATGGGTTATATACATAGTTACCCTACTTATAACCCTACGTATAACTACCCATGAACCTCCAAGTAGAGATGAAGTTACATTTGCGCATGCAAGCCTGAACGGCTCCGAGGTATTGCTTCAGACTAGACTCTTGTTTGGGACGAAGGTCGAAACTAACATCCCGTGACTTTTGTGGAGACACACCATAACTGCTGAGATCTTGAGTCCTAGACATGAAGATCCTACTCTCTAAGCACTACCCGAACACCGACTAAACCACCATAAACCCCCAAAAATCTCCGAAGCCCTAGACCCTAAACCCCCGAAGCAATCCGAACCTACTGCTGCAGACCTTGCCAGGCTTGTCCGAGTGTGAGTGTCACAAAACCCCCAAAATCTCCGAAGCAGGAGCACAAGTACGTCGAGGAGTTTAGCACCTCGAATTTTGCGGCGATTACGAAGTCGAGCCTTCTTGGCCTTCGAGAATAGCCGGGTTGCAGGCTATAGCCATAGTATAGTACGGCACAGTACATAATAGTAAGACTGTAGTAATAGTAACAGTGTAGTACAGTATAGTGTAGTAAATACTATATATGCCATCATGTGAGCCATCGTTTGGTTGCATCGTCATTTCTGCAGCTAAAACCTGAAGCATTTCCACCGCGCCCGCATGGCTGTCACTCATATCCACTAGCTTTCCCTACGGCTCCATGTACCCACATAGCATATACCTAGGCCTTTCGAGAGTTTGCATTTTGGTACTGGCCTAAGTACATACTGACAAGGCAATTACATGGAGCATGAGGGTTTTTTTGAAACAAGAAGAACTGGGTTTAGGGTTTACCTGGAGCCTGAGGAACCTACCTTTTTAGGGCCCTCAAATATGATTTCTCTATATAAGTCCCTAAAAAGGTAGGTTCCTTAATTAGGGTCCAGGTAGGGTTTAGGGTTTTCCGGCCGAGGAACGTGTACCTCACGCCGGACTCGAGCTCTGTGCTGGGATCTGTGACCAACATGCGCCTTCTCAGATACCCTTAATATAGCTAGAATATACCGATTCTATAGCCCATTATGGGGTAGGGGTCCCCATTAAAGGTCCCTCCTTTTCCCTTTGAATGGTCGTTGTGATGCGTCCACAGTTGGAGCTTCAGGGTTTCCCTGTAGGCCCAGTCTTTTGCAGTAGGTTACATAACTGCAGTCAGTTAACTCACTTATCAAGTTTGGCCCTTGAATCGGCAGATTTGATTATTACTTCTACTATTTTGGAGGTTCCTTGTTATATTTATAGTATACCGGGCCCCAGAATCTTATTCTGACAATGAAGTCCTCCCGAGGGTCGCGGGCCCGAATCCCCAGTAGTTTGGGCTCCTCTGGCCCCCAAGCCCCCCTTGCGGCTTCGAGGCTTCAAGCAGATCGGGTTTAGGGTTTATAGGGTTTATAGGGTTTTGGGTTTAGGGTTTAGGAGGTTCCTTCAAGAGGCCTGGATGCAAAAAGGGTTTAGGGTTTATAGGGCTGATCACTTACAAATACTATTCCTTATCGGTATCCTTTTTGCAAGTATACTACGGCACTGCAGTTCAAGACCGGATTAAGGAAGGCTTCCCTAAACCCTAAACCCAAACTCGTCGTACTTGCTGTGGCTTGCGACGCGAGCCAAGAACTCGAAAGCTTTTAAGTTTTGCTTGACCTTGTTATATGTTTAGTCGAAGTATGTTTAAAGATGCCTCCTCGTTTCCCACTTTGATTATGTAATTAGCACAATCCTAAACCCGAAAACCTTATCCCGAATCATGCGAGACGGAAACGGGACGTAGCAAGAACAAAAAAGCTAACGCCACACATAGGATCCAACAGCAGATTTGAGCGTGAGACTCTGGATCCAAAACCTGCAATTGACAGAGCAAGTGCTTCCTCCAACCGACACTCTCGGCCCGCAGCCTTGGAGCCTTTGAACACCCAAAAGCTACCCAAGCCTGAAGCCAAGAAGCGCTCCTTTCTTGCTGACTCTGACACATGGATGTGTCGGTGATGACTGGAAAGCAGACGAGGGGCAATACGCGCAAAAGAAGCACGATAAGCTCGAAAATGGAAGTCAAGCACGCGCACAAAACCCGAAGCCCTGAATCAAGGCCCCAGTCCGCAGACATCTCTGAAATCCTCTGCAATAGTGAGGTGCCTCGAAGTTCTGGCGAAGGACATGGGCCTGACAGTTGAGAGGTGCTTCGGCTGCAGCAGGGCCAGCGTGACGATAGTCACGATATCTGCAGCTTCCTGCCATGATTAGTGGCGGTCATGTTGTGGATGATGAAGATGGGCCTAATGGTTATAATCTATAGAGTTTAGCTGATTGTGCTTAACCCTAAACCCTGGTTCGTTTACTAAGATATTTCCCGACCCTAGTGAAGTGATCTGCGTAGCTACATGGTTCCCAAGGTCCTACCGGTTATCTAACTGCTTCATTTTGTAGGATCTTGGGAGGGATGCAGTCCAAGCAGATACAGTCACTTTAAGTGTTTCGACAGTTGTTGCTTCCGTACTGTGACTGACCCATTATTGCGTTTCACATTGTCAGGCTCCGAACCATTTGCCTCGCCTGGATTGTCCGAGTGTGAGCGCCGAAACCCTGAACAGCTAAACCCTATAGTAGAAGCCAGAAAGTTGGAACATCAGACTCCTCATGCCCTTAAGGTAAAGTGTAAGGGATCCTAGCACTAATCCTCCTAAAGCCATGTTCCAACTTTCTGGCTTCTACTGTAAACTCTCGACCCCATCCAAAAGCCGAGAGCCGCTTCACCGTTTGCGAAGCAAGGCGACGCATCGATTTCGAGGCCGAGGTCGCGGGGTTCAGGGCTCCAGGTTTCGCGTCGAAGGGTTTAGGGGTGTATAGGATTTAGGTAGGTTTGGGATTTAGGGTTTAGGGTTTCGGGGGCTTTAGGGCTTAAGGCTTAGGGGTTTCTTCTTCGGTCGTGTCATGCGTCACAAGCGACGCTGGCGGTTCAGAGGCTCAGGATTTAGGGTTTTATTAATACTTTGACCTTTTGACATAGTGAGGGTTGGCTTTCATGAAGGTCGATCCCGACGCTTGTACATGAAGAGATGAAGAGATGCATGACCGAACCGGCTTACGTGCCTATATCTTTTCAACGCTGCCCAAAGCATTTCTAGACGCACTACCCGGGTTGTGCATCGGCACACATACCCACATGTTTACATATGCCACACAGAATTTCAAAGGCTCCCAGATCCCCTCAAGGGCTCTATGACTGAACATTACGTGGGCTTTAGGGTTTAGGGTTCAGGGGCAAATGACCCCATAAACCCCTCCAAGAGCATAAATCCCTTTAGCCCTCAAGCCCAGAAACCCCAAAACTCTAAACCCAAAACCCAAAACGCTTAAATCCAAAGACCCTATAATATAAGCCCTAAACCCTTTACCGCACTTTGCCCTTTAAGCCCCCTAAGGCCCTAAGACCCCGAACTTGGCAGGTTTCCAACTTCAAGGAGGTCGGAGCCGTTGGCACTGGGGTCGTCATCACAGTGCCCCTTGGTAGCGTTATGATGGTCACAGGGTTGAGGGTTTAGGGTCTACGGTTTAGGTCTTAGTAACTAGGGCCACTAGGGTTTAGGATTATGATTCTTATGATGATAAGGGACAGGGTTTAGAGTCTTATGATGGTGATCTGGGACCTTAGGGGGGACAGGACGGTTGGGGGACTACATATACCTCTTAGGATGGGCTCAGCCCCCATTCCCCTACTTCCCTAAGGGTCTTTATCACTGATGTTATGGTGGTAATTATTTAATATCGATAGATGACAAACTGTGTGTCGCCTTTGCTGTCATCGCATGTTCATAGGTGCAGTATGCCTTCTGTAGTGTCGCTGCGTGTTTTAACGTTCCGCTTCTTCGTAACATGCTTAGGTTTACGGCGTCGTCTTAGTAGCTGAGTGGATACACTACATTTTTTGGGGTAATATTATATACCCACTGTAAAACTGACAGTGTACACTTTGGGGGGCTTTTGAACTCAGCAACGAAGTCGTCGGCGGAGATCAGTTTCGTGATGCCCTCAAACCCGAAACCCTGCCACTGCGAGGGTGGAGTCCATCACCCGCGGCGAGAAAAAGTACACCTTTGAGCAACCTTCCGCTGCTCGGCTAACTGGGCTTTCAGGGCTTAGTTGGTTTCTAGAGGTGTGGGGTCTTGTCTTGAGGGTCTGGTGGGGTTTAGAGATAGTTACTCGTTTAGGGATGATTGCTCTAAACCGCAAGAACGCATATAACCTTAAACTCCCTAACCGAAAACCCTAGAACTAAACCGTTTTAGCCTTAAACAACCCAGAAACCTAAACCCAAAACCTCAACCTCCCCTTAATCCGAAGCCTGCTTGGAGGTTCATGGGTAGTTCTAAGAGGGGTTATAAGTAGGGTAACTATACTTATAACTTATAACCCCACTTATAACTACCCATGAACCTCCAAGTATGCCCTAAACCCTACACCCGTATAGATTCCCTATAGATCCCTTTAAAGGGACCCTTAAAGGAAGCCTTATAACTACCCATGAACCTCCTAAGTGCCATTCGGTAGGGATTTGGTGGGTCTGGGCCCGACGCGAAGTTCGAAGCACGGTCGTAAAGTGCCCAGCACACAAAACCCACAGGTGCGTTTAGGGGTTCAGGATTTACGGCGTATGTGTACAATACATATACATATAAAAGATATATACGCATGTGTGCATATATATATACACATATACACATATAAATACATAAATGTATATATGTGTGTGTATGTGTGTACATCTATAGATAGATAGATAGATAGATAGATCCAACATCTGTATATACGCATATGTAAGGTTTAGGGGTTTGGGGCTCAGATGGTGAAATAATAGGCAAAGCTATGAGCTTCTGTGTCCTCGCCAAAGCCGTGTGATTGATGTAACTCCTGCCACCGCGGTCAAAGATGCCACAACATATAACTGACGCCCAGTTTCTTTGATACTGGGAAGCGTGGACTGTTCAGGGATCCCTTAAAGGAACCCTTACAGATCCCTTATGAAGCTTCTGAGGAGACCTTGCAGAGCATGTACAACAAGCTGCGAGCAATCCAGGCGTGGTCTTTGGGGTGAGGGGGTGTTGGAGGTGTATAGGGTCTGTGTGAACCCACCATTTAAACCCAGGTTTTTTGTAGGTCCTAATTATAAACCCTAAGGAACTCTCCTAAACGTAGGTGTCGGTAATTTATGTGAGGCAATGAGAATAAGCAGCCCTAAAGTAGGGTCTTTCGGGCGCAAGTGAAGTTTCCACAGTTTGATACTACAGGGGCTTAAATACTTACCAATACTACTTGGGGTTCCTTAGTCTAATCATCGTATTATGGGCCCCAAAACCCTATTCTCATGAGTAAGGGACTTAGTCCTCGGATCAGGCTTGGAGTTGACCCCTAAACTCTAATGTATTTTGTGGAAGATGTAGCTAGTCACCTGCACCTACTGTCGTTCATTGGCTCAAGAAAATATGCGTCTGCATTCAGGCTGTTCTGCCTGTAAACATAGGTTATCAGCCGTAGGTCTCACTTCGTTTGTAGATCGCGATGGATGCTCCCGTAAATCCTGCAGGTATTCCCGCGATAGACATTTCCGCGGCTCGCGTCGATACCGAGGATCTCAGTTCTCTTCCTGCCATGTCCGTCCAAGACGATGGCACGGATCCGGCTGTCCCCGGTACCCGAGAGGGTGGCCAAGTTGTTCCTCTGACGGCAGAGGCCTTGGCCGTGATGGCCCAACCAGATCCCCGAAGAGGTGCACCAGGAGCGGTGTCAGAATGGGCATATGTCTCAAGCCCAGCGCACCAACTCGCATCCCTGGCGGGATCGCCTCAACAATATAATGTGGCCCAATATTCACCCAGCGAGATCAGAAACGTCGCGAACTACTATCAACAAAATGTCCTTGCGCCAACGGTGCAACAAGCAGTCCATGTGCATCAAGTAGACACAGGACCAGCCGTTACAGCTGAAGCTGAAGCACGCCACAGATTGATCATGGCCGAAGCAAACAATTTGCATAGGGAGCAATTCAACCAGCTTCATGCACAGGCGCTATCCGGTGCTGCCCAACTTCGGTTGGAGTTTGCCCAAGCGGAGAGTCGTCTGCAACAGAAAGAAGAAATGCTTCGAGCAGCCGGCGAAAGCATGGCTAATAAGCACAGCGACGAGTTGTCGCAGATGCGACGTGAAGCCGTTGACTACAAGCTCAGGCTTCATCAGGCTGAGGTTACAGTCTCCGACGTTGTAGCCCAAGCTGAAAGAGAGCTGGCTAATCGAAGTCGGGCTAGCCAAGACACCGTTGCAGTCATGAATGGCGAACTAAGCCAACTCAAGTCTGAGATGGGTGCATTCATGCAAGTGCATCGCCAACAGGCTGAGTCGATGACGAAGCTTGAGCGCACCAATGCCGAGCTTCGTGATCGCCTGGCGAAAGCCACGGCATATTCACCAACTGCCGTAGGAGATCAGTCTCCCATTGAACACCCTATTCATACCCCTCCGGGTCTGGGTAAAGTAGATGGTGGCCCGCCAGGGGGAGGTGGAGATGACTCGCCTCCCGAAAGCGACGGCGACGGGGATGAGCCCGATGACGATTCCCGTGACAAGAAGAAGAAAAAGAAAAAGGACAAAAAGAAGAAAAAGAAAAGAGACTCATCTGATTCATCATCATCGTCGTCTATCTCCCTATCTAAAAAGGACCTCCTGAAGATGTTCAAGAAAGTCGTTAAGTCGAAGAAAGACAAGGATGATGTCGAGGAAACCGAGGCGACAAGGGGAAGGCCCAAGGTGAAGGAAGCTGAGAAGATTGTGTTTCCAAAGTTTCCCCAGCCAGAGAACTATCGCAACTGGAGGCTTCGCGCACGCGAGGCTGTGGTCGCCGCCTCTGACCGTCCCGATGAGGCTTTCGAGTGGCTCGGTGAAGTGTGGAAGGATGATACCACGGAAGAGTCCCTTCGTGATCCTAACGGTTTCACAACGCTTGATGCGAAGATCCTCTCGGCAATCACAAACATTCTGGAAGGTGATTTTGCTCGCCAGATTGACACTTTTAAAGAGAGGGAAGGACACGAAGGACGCTTAGTTCGTGGCCGACAGATTCTACATAAGCTCAACGCTTATTTGTCGACCAACGCACTCCACGGGTCTGTGTACGATATGGAGGATCTGCTCAACGTCGTCATGCTTAACGAAAATCTTGTGCAATTCGTGCGTAATTGGGATACTGTCCTCTCAGGCATGAAGAAAGCACCTGCTGACGATGTTTTGCAACCCTTGTTTCATAGACAGGTTAAGAAGTGTAAGCTTTTGGCGCACGACATAGCCATCTATGAAAGGGCAGTAGACGGCACACAGGAGAAATCCTATGAATACCTGTACAATGCCGTTAACCGAGTCATCAAGATCAAACGGCTTGAGCGCAACCGGGAACGGATTGCAAGGCAGGCCGCAGCAGGTATGCCATCGGCACCCGCACCGCTAAAGCGTGTGCCCAAAGGCTTCTGCATTGACTTTGTTCGGAACGGTTCGTGCAACAAAGAAAAATGTTCCTATAAGCATCAGATACCCGAGAAGCCACGTGGTAGGACACCAAGCAAAGGTAAAGGCCGAGGCAAGTCGCCCTCCGCAAGGGGGAGCCCTTCTCCTGGGAAGATTAATGCTGAGTGCAAATTCTTCAAGCATGGTAAATGCAACAAGGGTGACAAGTGCCGTTTCATACACAAAGGCCAGCCTTCTGCTCCTGCCACTGGTAGCGGTAGAGAGTCTAGCGGCGAAAAGAAGAGTAAGAAACAGAAGAAAGAAAAGAAGCATAGGAAGAAGTCTCGCTCCAGCTCTAAAAGTTCCAAGGGTAGTGGAGGCTCCAAGGGGAGCAAAGGCTCTGGGAACAGCAAGGGCTCGGGGGGGCGGAAACCTAAGGCTTCGCTTCCGGCCGCCGTCTGCCTCTTAGGCGCACTTGTCGCAGGTTCGGCATCCCAAGCCGATGCACACGCTTTCCGGAAGGAAATGCCGAACTTCATTGACTCGTGTGCAAGCACCGCTCACGTTGCTCTGGCATCTGTGCGATTCTCGAATGCTCCTGAGTATCACTACATTCCCACGCCCCCTGAATCTTCCAAGTGGCGTGAGGTTGAAATCGAGCCGAGGGTTTTCAGTGAAGAATTTCCTGTTAACTACAAGCCCAAACCTGATGGGCAGGATGTTCGGGATGCTTTGGCGACAGCTAAAATGCTGAGGTCAACCGTTGAAGGTATGAACCAAGGTACGAATCCAGCATGTAAGTTCATGTGTAAGACTGAGTTCGGTTGTGCTCATTGCATTGCGCCCGGCATATCTGTCGGATGCCCAGCAAAGGGGAGCCGATCAGATCCTGTGATTGAAATGGAATGGATTGCCGACACTGGCAGTGCTCAGGATTTGATATCGAAAAACGTTCTCGGTGAAGTAAAGGATTTCTTGTCGGATCGGCCTATCAACATGATTACCGCCAACGGACCTAACTATGCTGACAAACAATGCAAGGTTAGGATTCCTTCGATCAATACGACCGCCGAACCATATGTTCTACCCGATTCACCATCCGTTCTCTCGGTTGGACAGAAGTGCATGGAGGAAGGGTTTGACTTTATCTGGAGAGCTAATTGTAGACCCTACTTCAGGGACCACAACGGGAACAAGGTTTATCTCGATGTGAAGGACAACGTTCCATACCTGAAGTCTTGGAAGGAGAATGTTGCGCTTCCCGCGCGACCACGTCCGGAGCCCAGCCTTCCTGCATCGCCGGTTGAGAAACCTGGCAAGTATGTTGAGGAGTCAGAGAGGATTGCAAAAGAGTTACTTGAGAACCTTGACTTCCAGTGTAAGTCTTGTCTGAAGCTACTGCAATCTATGAACTGCAAGCCCTCCAAGAGCAATCGTAAGTCAATTACAAACAACCAGAGTCGCACCGACGGAAACGTCGAGTACCTTGTGCTTGGCGCTTTCGCTCATGGCGGCGTCCAGGGTTCTACCCGATACATCAATGCATTCCTCCAGAATCATGGAATGACGGGAGATTGCTCATCGGTTTGCATCAATCACGGTTCGTCCGTTAAGGTTCACAAGGATGCTCACAACATGAAGGATTCCACCAATTTCACTATTAGTCTTGGCAGCCTCGAAGGTGGTGAACTTTGGATTCACGACCCCGCTGCCCGAAAGGGAGAGCACAATGTCATCACTCAGAAGGTAGGGTTGAAGACTTTGTATGGCAAGAAACGCGTCTCCCGCAACAAACTTGTGAAGTTCGATCCCAAACGTTTTCACTGTGTTCTTCCTTGGAAAGGGGATAGATGGAGCATTACCGCGTACGTCAATCGAGCTGTTCCCAAGCTTCAGAGCAATGAAATTGCCAAGCTTCGGAGTTATGGGTTCAATCTCTCTAAGCGTACTGCGATTCCTGCCCTCGCTCCCGATTCCGAGGATGAACGGCCGCTTGAGGACCTTGTAACACGAGGTTCTGCGGTAAGGCCTTCCGAGCCTAGGACCAAGCCTAAGGTCAAGATTAGGGAATCGGAGAAAAAGAAAGAAAAGAAACCTCCTAAGTCCGATGTTGCCGAAGATGCATCTAGCAAAGCCGCTGAAGAGTTCGACAAGCTCCTTGAAGATCTTGAAAAATCAGGAGCAAAGCAAACTGCTGAGCTCAGTGAGCAAGAGCATCTCAGTCGCATGATCGATGAGTTCGGCTCGGACATCGAACCTGATGAACCGCCCAAGCCGGATCTTGGACGACCTCCTGACGGAGAGTCTAAGGTCCCAGATGGGGAGGGCAGTTCTGATCCCAAAGTTCTTAAGGGAATTGAAAAGCTTAAGAAGGAAGCTACTTCGTTGCATCATCTCATGACACACATCCCTAAGAATCCCTATTGTTCGGTATGCAATCAGGCTAAGATGTACAAGGCCCCGGGTTACAAGACCGATGGCTTTCGTTCCGTCGAAGCCACCAGCTTCGGTGATCACATTACCGCCGATCATGTGGTGATCTACAGGGACAATCATGAGGTCATTGAAGAAGCTAGATTGGCTCTC